CGTTAGTTATCACTAAAATATATGCCACCTGTTTTTAAACACTTTGGGAGTTTCTGCATTCTTATCTCCAGAGACTTACTCTGACACAGTAACCAAAACTGCATTTTATCATCCTCAAACAAGAGTAGCTACACCTCTTTTATCATGGCAGGATATGGAAACTTTGGTTCATGTGTTTATTGCTCTTAGACAGGATTACTGCATTGTTTTATTGGTTGGATTTCCTGGCTGATTAAAAAAAAAAAAGAAAGCAGAGGCAAAGTGCCGTAACTCCCAGTTGTATCCAGACTCAATTAAATTGCCGTTAGCAATACAGCTGAAAGCTCAACCTTTTAGATTCACGGATGAAGTTCTGTAACACAGACAGTTGTCAGTGTATGAATCTCTTCACATTAAATTCTACTGTGTCTTTCACATAATGTCTTTCACCTTAGGGAACCAGTGTACTTAATAGTTAAAATTATCCTGTGTGTATCACTTGGGTCACTACATCAAGTGGATCTTCTAAGGTAAGAAACTTTCTCTTCTTCAATAGGGAAAAAAATAAAAATCAAACAGTTCTTCCTCCGGAGTTTGACACCGTAAGTTAGTATGGTTGAGCTCTCAGGATTTCTGTTACTGCCAGTGCTCTGCCCACCGTGGGGAGCAGGGAGAAGGTGACAGTGTCAGCCAGGTCCAAGGGAGCACCCGGACACCAGCCCGGCTGGACTGTGGCCAGTTCAGTGAGACCAAGCACACACTTTAACCACAGTTCCCAGTTAGATAAACCGAAAGGCCCTATCCACACCCAAAAAACTTAAAAGACATTTTACAAAGTGGCAGAGTGCCCCAAACTCTCAAACCACCACACTATGGGCCCTACTTACCACCCAGCTCAGTCTTTCACACCGGACATGGAATAACTGGGCCTTGTGGTCTGCAACTGGTGTCTGTCGTAAGACCTAAATTCTACAACCAACTGTACCACCACGGATGTCACCTTGCCCAGAAGGTCTTCTGAGTTTTTTTGAAGATCGAGTCTGTTCCTTGAGTATGAGGTTTTTAAGGAACTCGTGCATGTAAGTTCAGGCTAATATGCATAGAAAACATAAATCCTCTGACAGTAATTATTATTTTATGTCAAACAAAGTTGCAAACTGTTAGACTTGAAAAACATTTAAATGCTGACCAGATTGTGCTCACCCACTGGATGAAGAGTACAAACAGAAAAGAAATCTCTTTAAAACAGTTCGAAGGAAGCAGGATGAAAATAGCAATGGTTTTGAGTGTTTCATAATGTAGAACAGAGAAAGACTACAAAATAAGCAGCATTTGATTAAAAAATGTTGCTGAAGAAACTTTTATAAGGATCTAATTTTTCCCCCTAAATCATGCTACACATAGCTAAAAACCATCCTCCGCTATCTTTGTACACCAGCGACTGCCACTAGGGCAGAAGAGCTTCCCCAGCTTGGCCTTTGGCACTTCCAGAGAACAATTCAGTCACTTAGGTCAGGCAGTCGGGACACTGCAACTGCTCTCTCCTTCCCTTCACTGACAGGAAGGTGATGGAGCTCGGTGTCCTCATTCAGGGACCTAGGCCAGGTGCCTAAACAAGGGTGTACAAACAGCTCTCGTTCCACATCTGCTCTTTGATTCTGCCACAACGGAGCTGACCAGCAATAGATAGTTAATGTTTCACCAACCAGCTGAAGAAGACTGTTTCAGAATGGGCAGAAAACTAATACACGTGCAGGTTCAGCAGCAAAGTAAATGGGATTTACAAAGTACTTATGAAGATGCAAGAAATACAGTGCTTCTGGTTGTATTCAATCAGAGGGTGATCATTCTCCCTGTTGCATTGCAACAACAAAATATATAGTTAAAAGATTTCTGTTAACATTGTCCTTTCCTTAGTATATCCACCTACAAAATGTCTTATCTAATACAACAAAGGTGAATTATTTAGAAAAAGCAGACTAACAAGTCTGAATATATGCAAACCTGCACAATAGGCTTTCGATCTCTGGGGCAAATTTCCCTTTTCATTCAGGAAACTTCACTGAATTTGGTGGTGGTGTGTCAGTGAGCACAGAAACCTGCCTGGCACATATTAGTTTTCTGTAAGTTTAACAAGACACATCAAAGGAAGAAATACCTTTAGATGTATCTGTTATATAACACTTGAAACGCAATGCTTTAAATGTTAGTGAGAAAACTAACACTGCTGAAGTTACAAGAAAACCAGTACGTGTAGCCCATAAATAGACAACAGTAAGAAAAACGCGGATTTTTTAAGGTATATCTACTAATTTCCATCAGCTTTCACCGTATGTTTCTCTCTTTCTCAAGCACAGGCATACTATGATTTGGTATCACTTAGTCACACTCTGTGCTTTTGATAGAATGTTTTTAAGTGTCTTTGTGCACTTCCCAGCAAATATTGCTGAAAGGAGTTTATAAACCAAAGCAACAAGCTGTATGGGACAGACCATATTTTCCATCTCTTCATGAAAAGCACAGCAGGGAAAACACATGTGTTAGTAATTGGAAATGCAGACCAGTATGCAGACCTGGAATCCTTAAATCCTTTTAAGTGGCACATCTTCAAAAGAAAAATATCTTTTAATTCCTACAGTACCAAAAAACGCTAAGGCAAAAGACAGCTGTATAGACTTCATTTGCTAAAAAGTTAAAAAAATTACAGCCAGAAGAGTGGCTTAACTTGGTATCCTGTTTCCATTTCTCCTCTGATGTCTGTAAGATGTTGGCACAATCACTTCTGGCTTAGAGGTCTGACTGCCAGACCAACAAATTGCTCACTTCAGTGCCTGAGTAGACCCAAGAAAGCAGTTTAGCAGTAACACTCCTAGCATCAGGAAAGAGCAGAAAGGCCCTTCCTTTTGGCCAAGGTAATTTCAAAACAGAGACATTCTACTTTAGTACTGAAAACGGCACTCACATGTATTTTAAACTGTCACATCAAGTATTCAGAGGCTACTGTATTCTGTTCAGTCTATCCCAATTTTGTAATTTCTAGATTACAAATCTATATTATCAGTCTTGCAGTTTCAAGATTAAATCTTTTAAAATATGTTTTTAAATAAAATAGTGTCACACTTGGGGCGTTCAAACAGGTGGGTTGGAAAATCAGGGACTGTGATGCTGAATTTAGTAATACAGTGCTGAAAGTGCTACTCAGCTGTGCAAACAGATTTGCTTGCTCCCAAAGTGTCACAGCATGCCTTTTGAAAGCCACCACAGTGAGGAAAAGTTCACCAAAATGTATTGACAAATTATCTTCTCAATTAAATAAATGTTGACACTGTGGAAATTTTTACATACTATTTCTAGTGGGGTAATGTTTAGGAAACTCACAGATCTGAACCACTATGCCAAGCACTGTACAAATACCTAGCAAAAACTGGAACCTCATCTATAAACGTCAAGGGTACTGATAGACATATAGTCTGGATTTTACGTGACAGATTCTGAAGTCTGTGGAAATGCGCCTGTTGGGCACCTGAAGTCCTTTCAGGAACAGACTCTTAATTAGGTGTATGCTTGTATTTATAATCCTTCATATCCTGAGGAAGGCCCTTCCTCTAAAATTCAGTATACAAGTATTTCAGTCCCAGATTTGGCTTTGGTTCACTTCCACTGACAAAATGAGAGAAAAATCTTGCTGTACACTGTCCTGATTTATGGTACCTCCTTTGTTTTTTAATTAGAGAGAATGTAACAGATGTCACCATAAGCTAAGGAGCTGGTATAAACAAAAAACCCCGCTGTCCTATTCTTACCTCTTGGACAGTGCAGAACTGCTATAAACAGACTGGCCTAAGCACAGCTGTGTTCTGAACCAACAAGCACAGAGCAATTGTTAGTGTTAGCATGCAGTGTGACACACTGCAGTACACTCCAACCTTCTGGATTTTACTCAGGTTTCTTCTTCAGATACCCCCTCTCATGATACAATTTGTTACTGTCCGCTAGATGACAACATAACCAACACCTTTCACTGAAAATATTCAAGCAGGACAGTTGCTGAGAGAATGGTAGAAGAAAGAACTGAAGTTAGTTACTTCAGGGGACAGCCTAGGTGTTTATTATACTGAATAATACGTATTCTATATATTCTATAAACTGAAGACAAAAGCACGTATACTGTATTACTGCTGTTGCTGACCACTGGCAGCCAAACAGTTACCATTTCCTTGGCATATGAAGAGACAGTCCTGATGAATCACACTGCAAATGAATAATCATGGAATCATGAGACCAATTACCAAAAATTAACCTGAACAAGAATCTGGTCTGTGTTTTTAAGACTAACTCTTTGACATAGCTTTGTGATCTTTTCAGAGTTTTCATAGCTTTATTTTCACTAAGGCTCATATCTGGGAAAATCAGAAGAACATACATAGATGCTTAAATTTAAGCTTGAAGTGCTGAACAGGAACAGCAATGAAACCACACCATTTATAGAAAGTTTTTTGGTAGTTCATACTGCAAAACAGACTTTTTAGAAATCTGCAAGTAGCTTCCAGTGCAGAACCTAACTACACAAAGAAACCCACCACCATAAACAAACAAACAAGCAAAACAGCTACAACCTCTGACCTGCAGGGAAGACTGCAGATCATCTAACAGCACTTTGCACTGTGAGCTTTGAAAATGATACGGTGAGCTTGTAGAGGCTTTATACCACTTCTGAGTGAAAAAGCACAGGAAGAGCTTATTTTTCTATGTTCAGTACTGCATCAAAAATTCATCACAGAAGCTGTAAAATAAAATGCATGAGATGTTAGATCTTCATCTCAAAACAGTACAAATTCACTTGCTGACAACTCTACAGAGGGAAAAGTAAGAAAAGGAAGTGAAGAACATACTTCTGGGCCCGAGAGCAGGACCAGAACTACCCTTCTTGAAGCAAAAACTACTATGGCAAACAAATTAGTAAAAGGTGTCTGTCCTGTCTCTTTTGTATTTTCACCAGAGAGATGACATCCAGCACTCACCGAGATTGGGCTGAGACATTGCCATAGACCTCTGTGGTACTGGTGTGGAAGCAGCTGCAGGATGGTGGCTCATGTGATTCAGCGGTTGATTCATAGTTTTTCGAGGATCTTGCCATGTTGTAATTTTTTCTATGTGACTGAGAAAGAAAAGACACAAATTTAACACAAAACACCCAAGTATATTATATACATGGTTAGGCATAACATCATGAAAGCCCTATTGCCTTTTCTTATCCCATTTTTCTGCCTTTTGCATCTTCACCCTAAATCACTTGAAATTATCTATCATCTTGTCATTTATTTCCTCTTCTGATCTCCTGGCCCTCCCATTCTAACCTTTTACACACTACCATTGAATAACTACTTTTCCTTGAACAACTGGTGAATTCTATTATGATACTGAAAATCTGTAATACACACTCATATTCAAGATTATTTAATTGTCCAAAAGTTATCCTACCAGCCTTTTTCTACATACTCATATATGTATGGCCATTCTTCATTCAGCAATATGTGTTCATTTTGCTGAGTTTTGAAAAGACAGGCATTTGTCTTGCTAAATCCACCTGCTTTGTCCTTACCACACCATGAAAACTAGTCTGTCTGTAACGTCTCCAAGAATATCAGGCTATATTCTCATCACCAAAAGAAGCAGATTAAGTCCTCATGACTCACATGTATCCACCAATCTCTCTGCAAAGGCACAAACAGTTTTTATTGCCATGTAGGTCAACAATGTATATACCACTCTAGTATGTAAACCCTCATGTACCTGTATTACCCTGAAAACAATGGAGCACTGCCTGAATCTGCAAGAGATTTTACAGGGAGGTAATTATAAAGTGTGATCTCTGTCAAACACTTTTTGCCACAGAATACAGTGGTGAAGGAACTGGTTTTGTTGCAACTGGTTTTCACTGAAATGCATCAGTTTTGAAGGAAATTTACTGGGACAAGATTTTAAGGATCAGCATGTAGTTAAGAAGGAACTATCTTAAAGCAACCAACAGTCTGGTATCTACCAGGGACTGCCTGCCTGGTTCCATGGCCAGCTTCTGCCCAACTGACTAACCAGGCTACTGATCATGGGCTGGACTTGGATGGGATTTCCTCTACTAGTTTTCTGTTACAAAACTTTAGAGGAGGTAAGTCTTCAAGAAGAACATGTCAAGAAGGATAAAAATTTAATGTTCTGTATCTAGAAAATCATTCCAACACCTGTTTCATAAAAGCACAGTCTAACATCCCCTTTACTGAACCCCGTCTCAAGCTCTTCACTCCCCTTTCACCCACATCAGCACGGCTGTTACCGCTGGGACCACCCCGTGCCCTCAGACACAGCTCATCACCACCACTATTTACAAGCAAGTTTCCATCTATTGTGATGTTACCACATCCAGACTTTTTACAGTGAGTCTCTGGTATTGCCAGAAATAATGTGAATTACAAGCAGGATAAAAAAAAAAAAAAGTAACCTGATCCATTTTTTTGAAGAACAGAAAAAAGTGACACAGTCTTTATTTAGTCCATATCCGTTTTCTTTTCCTAATATTTTATATTTAATGTACAGTTCACAAGCTGTAACTGAAGATCACTTTCACTTGGATGCTTCTCTGAAACTCAGCCTCTTAAGCTGTTGAGTCACTTCCCTTCTTCATAACTTCTAGAATATTTGTTATTTACAATGAAACCACCCACCATTGCTTCTCCCTACCATTAAAACACTTTATTCTCCCCTCATTGTAAACTTTTATTATACTTTAGCTTGTCTTCTTTTTACTCTTACTTTTCAAGTATAAGAATTCCTGTATCCAGTTCAGTTAATGGTCTTTTTCCAAAATTAAGAAATGGCATTCTGAACAAAAGATGCTGCTACAGCAATAAACTGGGCAATATCTTCTGTTAAGTTCTACTTGTGTCTAAATTAGATTAAAAGCATTTTTATTTAAAGTTCCATTGTTTTGTTTTTCTGGCACTGTAATTCAAATAAAGAATCTACACTTAACTGAAACTATGAGTTTTCGAATACCAAGATATAATAGAAAAGATTTTTCCGCAAATAGTGAGAAACATGTTTTTAAGCATGAGCTTTAGGGATTAAATAATGAAGTTTATATGAAAACACATTTCTCACTTCAAAACTTCTTTTACATATAAACACTGTAAAATATAAGCAAAAAGGTTAAAATTAAATCAGACTTTTTTTCTTGTAATGTTAATCTCTAAAAAACTGAAAGCACAAATTCCTGTTAGGAAAACCTGAGGCACAAGTTAAAAGCATCTATGAAGTCAGCTGTATTAAGCAATCTGTAACCTGTCTGAACCTATTCCTCATTCCAGCTACAGATCCAAAACTCCAACTAGAACTGCCAGTTACGTCAGTGCGCAGTAACGGGAAGAGCTCTTCACAAAAAGACACTCTAGAATACCAAAATGGTCAACTTCAAAATGCTGCTTTGTTACCAAGTTCCTTTCAGCAGTAGTATTCTCACACTTCGTGGGTGTTAAAAGACAAACAACACGTTCATTTTTGGATTCAGGTGAGAGCTATGAACACACAAGGCAGCTGGAGGCTCCCCAGAGCTGAAGGGAGCCCAATAACACCCACCATCTCTGCACCCCGTCACGGTCCTACGGGCACGTGGAGGCTCCCCACAGCTGTGGGCAACGGGAGCTCCATAGACCATCCCCCCTCTCCGTCTCCCTGCAAACCTGATCTTCATGGGGTTCTGCTGGTGAGGGGCTGGGAGGCACCGGCTGAGGGCTCCTGGCTTCTCTCCTTTGGAGAGAAGGGGACTGAGGGGTGTTCAAGAGGAAGGGCCTTTATCTCCTGGGAAAGATGGAACTAAGAAACCTGCCCAAGCAACTCAGATAATCAGGAAACTCATAAAACTGAAGTCTGCACACCATTGGAGCACACACTGGTTGTCGCAGTGTTTTTTCCTTGTTACCTTCTTTTTTTTGCATTTGACATTTAGTTATAATTAAACATTGAAAGACACTAGCTTTTAACTCAAAATATTTAATACCTGCGTATTCTGATGCTGTTATTACCTCATCCAAGATGCAGTACAGAGAAAAGCAAAAATAATCTGCTATTCTTTACAAAATAGGCCAGTAAGTAGTGAAAGTAGACATTGATCAAAATACGGAATTTGTCATTTAGGTCTTGATCCTGAAACAGTGGATTCACCAGAAGCTTTGCCACAGATGCCAATGAAAAGTGAGTCACACTCTTTCAATTTGCAGACTCACAGCATTGCAGATATTTAGGAGAGAGCATGGTGGCAGGAATGCTTGGTGGCAGTGGGCAATCTATTACAGTAACTATGAATTCTTTTGTCTCACGCTTTTAATACAGGGTCATTAGGCTTACTTTATTGAAACTGTAAAAAATTTTACATCATATAGGGTTTAGTAGCAGAAGTAATAAAAAATATTCTTCAGCAGTACAGTTTATATAGTGCTGACAATAAACATCATCAGCTCAGCAAAATCTTTTCCAAATAATGACTTTGAAAAAAACTTTAAGAATAGCAGTACTATGTACTTTAAAAGCTAGAGAGTCAAGCAACAGTTACTCTTTCAGAAACGCACCTGGCATAACGCTTCCTGTTGAAACACGCTTTCAAATTAGGATGAAATAAACTGAAAAGTCCACATTGTACCATGAGACAATTCTCCATCCCTTTCTTGTTGTTTTAAAATATGCCCACTTAAAATGTCCTGCCTGCAAAGGATTACGAGGAAGAGCTCTGCCCTTTGCTTTCCCTGAAGTATGTGTCTTTTCTTAGCTACTGACACAGTGAGGCAGGCAGCATTAAGCCAGCACAAAACATAAAGAAACACATAATCTAGAATCAGGAAACAAGGCAGTTTCTAAGCTACTACCTTTCTAGGAGGTATCTGTATTGCCTTGCAGATTTTGTCCTGTTTCATTTGAAACAAGAGTTGCAAATTAAAAATACTCCATCACGTTTTAATAAATTCATAAAGCCTCTTCACACATGAAAGTCCTCATAAGAAAAAACATTCTGCAAATCACTATGCAAAGCAACCAGTCACGACACTGTAGCTGAAAACTAACACCACTGTTGATCAAAATCTCTTTTAAACCTTTTTGCAGAGAAAACAATATGTTTTGCAGAGAAAACAAACAAACTTTAATTACACATGTGAGAAGCAGGGCAACGATGACTATTATGTGATGCTCTTTAAGTTACAAAAGAACTGAAAAATTGATCAAAAAACTTAAAGATCATAACTCTTAAAGAATCCAGCTGCATTTGAAACAAAACAAAACACAGGAATTTTCTGTGTAAACATAATAACTTCTCAGCAGCCACAGCCAGGATCTACCAGTGGCCTTGCTTATCCTCCTTGGTGCCATCCTGGCAGTGTACAAACATATCTTCTTCATTAAAAAACATGCAGACAGAGTGTCTGAACTTCAAATATGGCATTGATATTATGATTCAAGATCAAGTAGTGGCTGGTTGTTACTAGAATATATTACTATGACCACTAAACCCATTTGGTTTGATCCAGTTATTAAAGAAAGGGCTGTTAAACATTAGACAATGCTTATTTAACAAGATAGTAGAATTGAAAACCCAACAATTCCCTAAAATCAGACTATGATTCTAAAATAAAGGGTGTGGTTTCAGGGCAGAGAAGCCTCCCCCCAACCTGATTTCCACTGTTCATGTAAATCTCCCCCCGCCTTATTTCTAACATAGATGTCAAAATGGTTATGTTAAGCCTTTGCAGAAACAGGTACTGGTTCATTCCACTTGAAATGTGGTTTATTTATACTGGGATAGCAGACTTTGGCCCAGTATCTTTTTATTTATACAGGAGAATAAAAGAAAATGTAGCAGTGAAAGAAATGAGCCTTTTTTCAGATTCTTACAGACTCCTGGGCATCAGAGCTGGCAAAATTCAATTCAGAACAGGCTCTTTTTTCTTAAAGGCTGGTGGGTAAAACATTAAACATTACAGGTGGATTTCAATCACTAAAAGGCAGAATACTGTCCTAAAACTCAGGACCTTCATCTTTAAAACGGATTCAAAGCAGTTCCCAGCCACGTGACCTCCTGAGAGGTGTCTCCATGCCCAGGCCGCCCAGCCGCGCGCAGGGTGTCCAGCAGCCCCGCGGCCGCGGCGGGCACCCAGCGCAGCAGTTACCTCCGGGCTGTCCCTGGGACTGGGGGCATTAGAACAGTATGGTACAGCCAGCGTCAGGGTGAGTCGGACCGAAGCTGGGATCTGACGCCTGGCTGAGGACAACCCCAGTCCACACGGCTGCTTGAGAGCCCCACGTCCCTGGCCAGGCGTACTCACCCCTTCTCCTGGGCTGACAGCAGCGATCCTGCAGCCTGACAGATCAGGCTGAGCAAACCCTTAGGCCTAATATGAATTTCTTTTCTGCTTTGTCAATTCTGTTTCTGCTGGACTCACACTCAACCAGCTGTATGGCTGCATGAGGGTGGGAGAGGCAATTCAGAGCCTTAGTGGCAAAGAGCAGCATTTCTGATTGTGAAACTACACCCTTTACCACTATTTCAACCCTGGAAAAAAAAAATTTTGCTCATACGTGTGACATTTCATTGCAATGAAGACCATTTATTCAGCTCTGAAATGTACACACAAAAGAAAAACACTATGGAGAGAGTCCCTAAATATCCTTATCTGGGATTGTATCAATCGATCTGTTCCTTGTTTTATTATTTCCAGAACTACTAATCCCAGGAGGATTTTCTTCTTGGCATACATCACATAGCCTACAACAATGAGACAGAAAACAAAGCTTCAGACAAAGGCAAGTAACAGGCCAGAGATCCTGCCTTCACTGCTGAACTACATGGGTGACCCACTTGTAAGAGTTTCACTGTCTTCCTTCTCCCAGTGACTGAGCTTTACACTGGTACTAGACAAAGATTAAGCATTTAATTTTTAGGATTACCCAGACAATTAGGTGTCACTGTGTTAAACCGCTGGTCTATGTCCCCTAAGGCACTGACTTGTATGCTAGTTTTTACCCACTTCATCGATGGAATGATATTGTTATAAATCACACACTTTGTTCTGGTGTAGCAGCATCTATACAGAAAGATAACCTGTTACACTAAATCTGTCCAAATTAATACTTAATAAATACCACAAAAACATCTTTTACTCAGTCCTAAGAGCTCTATTCTGTTTCTGTAAATTGTAAGATTCCACTTCCCTTAAGAAAAAAGTATTTTTCTATAATTGCTAGTTTATGCTTTTAGTCTTTGCATAATTTTCTGCAAATGATAACATTTTCATTTTCAAAAGTTTTTCATAAAATAGCTCCAAAGTTATGTAAGTAATAATTTTTTATTTCCCTTGTCATTTTTACTTTCCTTTTTCCCAACGAAGGCGGAGAGGAAATTAGGAGATGGAACTGTAACACTATTTTTGTTTAAAAATGTATATGAATAAAAAACTGATCACATTTAAATACACTTTCTGTAACAAGTATTACTATAATGATTGCTCAACCAACAATGAAGTTGAAACTCCATGTCAGAACAATTCTGAAAAAGACTGATTTTATGAGTGATCTAGTTCTCTAATTATTTGCTCTTTTATTATAATTATATTCTACTATTATTTATATTATTATCTCTTTTATTGCATGCCATTTTCTGTTCACCATCTACACACATTATCCAGAGACAGCCTAAGAGTTTGGGAGAGAATTAGCAAAACAGTTCTTTGCTATAAATTTTGAAGATAAGCATCTCCATCACATGTGTATGAATCCGAAGAGAAGGAGCCCCAGTCTTTAAAGATATCTCACCTAATATTAGCTTGATAATATTGAAGTTTAATAGTAATGAAGCTTTACTACAATGTAGAGAGAACTGCTATGTAGAAATGTAATGAACTTTTAAGACTGTTTTTATAAGATTCTTATTTAAGGAATATTCAAATACATTACAAAGTAGCCCCAAAATACATATTCAAATTCCGCCTTTCAAGTTTTCAGAAATGATCTTTGCATTTCTTATTATTATAAATCCTGGTACCTGAGCAGGCCATTTCTCAACAAGGTCTTCATTCATAAGTAAGCAGGGTAGGAAAGAAGAGACATTCATTTTAACTTCTATTTCTGCATCGCAGATGAGACTGACAGGGGGTCTTCACAGGCAAACAAGAAGTTTCAGTGTTCCCACCGAAATCAGGGAAAGTTAAATATTTACAGCTCAAATGAGGTACACCTGTGTCAAATATGACACAGAACACAGTGTCACAAACGCTGCCCCCCAAGCTGCCCAAATCACGGCACTCACATCCATAAAGTCCTGCCATACACAAGCTCAGTCAGTGGTAAATTGTATCCTCATGGTGGCCCCTCACCAGAGAAAAATGAAAGCAAAGCTTGGATCTAAACCACTCAGTATTTTCTTAGGACTTTTGATCCCGTTCCACCTGTAGTACCTTAGGCTTTTGTTAAATGCTTCCTGTTTGGGTGTCTGCTTCCCACTTTGAAATGTCAATGTTCTTCAGAATTTGTGCTACTGCTGTGTACTGCATTTTTCCACTGCTAGGCTCTAATCCCTGACTTCCACGGCAGCCTTGCCAAGACAGCTCAGTTAGTTTAAATTAGCAAGCAGCAGCATGAAGTATACAAATTCTCTTTCTACATGTACTAACTCCAACAACAAATGTATCTCAGTGCATTCTATTTTCAGACCGTATTTTTTTTCTAGTATTAGGCAATTCAGATCTACTCATCTCAAAAAGTTTAAGGGGAATTGAGGAGAAAGCACTGATTTGAAATACATGATTCTGTCAGTGCACTCTCACCTGAAGTAACACAAACTTGGAGTTTGGCTCACACGTAGTACTTGTACGGGTCCTCTATCAGGGCTTTGTCACGGGGACCCAGAGAGCGGATTTTGCGAGTCAGCCACATCAAAGTAAAGCTGCTTCAGGGCAAGTGGGAAGGTGGTGACTCACCCGCAGCACCAGCCCTCCTGTTCTGAGTCATTAACTCCTCCGAAGGGCCACAGCTCACACTGCGCTGGAGCACGGCCAGGCCCCCGCTTCCGGCTGCACCGCCATCGCTAAACATTGGGAAATCTGTTTACATCTCCCAAGCAGAGCCAAAGCATTGCCCAACTTTTTCTCCCTGTCCCTCTGCTCCCTGTAAGCAAAAAAAGGACAAAAAGGAAGCTTGTCTCAAGGAGGAGTCCACTCACAGCGCTTTGACACTGCATGATGTGGCAGAAACACTTTTATACAGATGGAAAGTTTTTTAAATTTAGGAAAATTATCTCGGGGCCACAACATCCCAGTCTATTGTGTGAGCTTGCTCATGGTACTGCAGTGCAATTTCTGGTAAAAAAAAAAAAAAGCCAGAGCCAAGCCACACAGCATTTCAGTAACCATTATCATGCAGGATCTAGCAGCAAAAGGGGAATAGCGTACAAGCTTTTAGTGCCTTAAAAACTTACTTAAAACATGCTGGTGTAAAACAATCTCTTGACACAGACCAGAGACGCTCCCAGTAACTGCAGGAACAGGGTCCCACTCCCGCCCTGCCAGTGGCTTTGGCCATGCTCTCAGGGGCTCCCTCTCACCAGGCAAGGTGAGTTTTCTCCCAACCAGCAGCCAGTAATTTTGGCCCTCTCGCTGACCCCAATGAAAGCCACCATTAGTACAGCTAGTCAGCTGGGCCAGGACCCCTGAGAGACCAAGCAGCCCGCCTTCACCATCACCACCAGTCCAGCATGGTCCCAGCAGACAGCTAGCAGAAATAACAAAGAAAACGTTCGTTTCCCTCAATGCCTTCATCTGCATCGGGGCCTGACCCAGAAGGGTGCTAGGCATTCAGCCCTTCCACACATAAAAGGTTCAGCAGAGTTGAGTTATCCCCTGTCCTGCAGTTCACTTTGTGAGGCCAAACAACACCCCGTCAGGCCTGCACCTTGCCCGTTCCCACCTTCTGCCACCTCCGCAGTTCGGCGGGTACAACTGGTTTAGGCTGTGGAGAGCAACTCAAATCAGCAAAGGGATCCAGACTGAAAACAGACCTAATCAAAATAATTATGAATGTACTGGATCAATTTAGCACAACTTAAGGGTTGGTACAAAAGTTGGAGTGATCTGTCAAGGCAGGAACTCTTCACGCATTCCCTCTCAGCCTCGATAAAATGTCGGCCTTCCTGAGAGAAGGCCGTCAGCAGGGCTGGCATGCAGCCTCTCCCCCAGCAGCCACTCCGACACAAGAGCTCCTGCCCCTGCACATTCATCCCTGAATCCAGATACATGAAATTAAGTAGGTTAAAAAAGAACCCTGAATAAGGAGGCAACTGTAGGCTCAAGCAGTTACGCTGGCTTACCTTTAAATATTCGAAGTCCTCTCACCTATTTTTCAGCAACTGTCGTTTATAATCTAATAAGGTGACTTAGGGCAAAGAGGAATGGA